GCCATCTCAGGATGTAATGATAGAACTGGAAAAAATGAAACAGATATCAATATCTCCGGACACTATATGGTATTGGTATTCTCTTTTCGGACTCTGTATCTGTAGCTGCCACCGGCACGCCATCGTCAGCGTCATGTCGGTCAGATAAATCATTGCACCAAAATCAATCCAGTTCGGTGTCCAAGATAAATATTGGTCAATGCATCAGAATCCTGGTTCTGCCGCGCCCACTGCACGCAATTTGTTGGCACTATTCCGCTGCCCTTTGAACCCGGACCCAGACATCTGACCTGCCCGGCCCATTTATCAAGCCCCAGCCGCATAGATGCTGGGTTGACTGCCGCCTGGTTCGATGATGATTGGCTGTTTCTGTAGTAAGGGGAGGGGCAACAGGCAGTAAACTTTAAACCGGGGTTTGATAACCTAAAAATATCAACATCCCTGCCACCGAAGTGGCCAAACTGAAACACCGTACATCGTAGGTTGGCAAGGCCAATGGTCAAGCCATAGGTCAGGGCTAGGTTACGTCAGCCATAGGCATAGGCGTAGGAACGTCTCAATAAGTGGGGCTGGTAAGCTGAGGGCGTGCTTCAGGAACTTTTTCTGGACAGCAAGCCCGATGACCGGTGGAAGGGAGTGGGGGTAAAGATAGCGATTTTTATCGCCCTTCATTCAAATGTCATGATTCTTTTGCTAGATATGCACCTGGAGCTGTTTTTCGCTGGTGCGCAATTTTGCCTGTCCGACTCATCCATGTCATTCGGTAAATAAGGCTGTCTAGCTTCCCAGAATTACTGGTCCATTTCAACACTGTCTTTCTTGGGGAGGTGAAATTCCATGCACGGACAGGCATTTTGGGTCATTAAGGAGGCATCTGCCTCCACAGAGCAAATTCCAAAAGACGGCCTGAACGTAGGTTGGTGTGAATTTTGAAAGCAAATCGATGGCTCACAGTGCGATAAATTTGTTATGCGCCTTCATTTCGCTGGTTGACTTTTGAGAGATAAGACTTGCCGCAGCATTTTAGACGGAAAAAAATAGAATTGGACGGGAAGGGGAACGGGAACCTTAAAGCTGCCAAAAACCGTGCGACAAAAGCCCTGCAACTGGGAATTCCCCTTAAAAAACAAGCCACAGAATGAAGACTCTTTTGTCATATATTCCTTACATTAGCCCTGCTTCAGTCCGCTGTCGGCGGCCACTGCCCAGTCCCGGCTGACTGCGAACTGATCGCATGTATGTTTCGTGGCATATTTCCAGATCAGCATTACTTCTTATTGGTCTGTAAGACATATGTCAGACACTTGCAACAGTATATCTTTCCGAATTATCTTCCTTTACACCACACCACCGCAGAAAAAAAACTCCGAGAAGCTGCCTGCCTTAGGCATGAATTGGCTCAACGGACATGGCATTGCCCATCATTCAACTTAGATGACTTGGTCTGCTTTTGTGTGTATCCACTGGCATAGCTAGAGCCTTGCCAAGGAGGAACGCGGGGTTGAAAAAGACCCCCTTATGATGACCTCCCGCCCCCCTGAAAGAACCGGACAGAGCTTACTTGTTAACAAGGGGCACAGGCTTCTTCGTCTTATTGCTATTTTTACGTTACAGCCAGAACAGAAAACAAAAGCTACCGTGAGATCAAGTATCTTTGTATTTTGAAATCAATAAACTGCAAAAATCAGGCGCTTAACGACTGCATGAAATAAATCAACGGCGCCCTTAATTTACAATGGTTTAGTGAGCTTTTTCTAAAACGAAAGAATTTCGAAACTTTGTCAAAATGTTTTATGCTGGTTCTACAGACATTAAAGATATCGCAAAGGTAGATTGTAGTTCGTTTCGTTTGATGGAAATTTAAATGTGAAAATTTGGTTGTAGATCGAGTGGTCGACAACGTGTATTAACACGACCGGACTAAGTTTGGTTGGAAACATTCAACATTCAGTCAGAGCCGCTTCGTGATACAATTTATGCAATACAGTTTTTTTAGCATGCACGCTCGCAAATCTTAGCAACAAAAACCTCCACACCAGGCCTTGTAATTTCCATAGTCCACGGAGCGTTAGCCTAGCGACTAACTTTTAGAATTGTCCAACTGGCGGACGAAAATGACGACGCTTCTGAAATAACTGCCTTTAGACACTTAAATAGATTAGTAACACAAGTTATGTGACATAATTTTGAGCACACGCACTCGCAAATCTTAGCAACAAAAACCTCGACGCCAGGCGTTGCAGTCTCTCCAGGCCCCGGAGCGTCGACTCGCCGTCAATATCAAGCCGTGGCCAGTGAGTGTTCGAAAATGATAGCACTTCTAAAAGAAATGCCTTTGAATGCTTCATGACGTGAAATGTTGCATTCAGAAGAGAGTCTGGGCGCATATTCCACGTGCGCGATTTTTAGACTGATGATAAGAACAGATTGGCGCTCAAAGCACCACAAAACAATGCTGGAATCTGGTCATGGAATTGAAAAAGCAAGCGTAAAATCTCTTTTTTTCGTGTTTCTGTAACTATTGATCTGTCCAGAAGACAGATAAGCACGGCGCCCGCCGTCTGGTGGCCCTTCCAGTGGCCGACGCCGTTCGGTTTTGCGGGAGCTGCAATCCAGGCCATCGCTGCCCATGCACTCGAGGGTGCGTGCGGGCATGTTCAAACACTTCGATGTAATTCGTTTTCGTAATCCATTCTGAAAAAATGCCCTTTCTCAGGCAAACGTGGGATGACCTTGTTTGTTTTTTCAGCTCACTTTAACCCATTCCATTCAGCAATAATGAGGCTACTGCCCTACTCAACAATATTGGGACCCCTTAGTTTCTTCCAGGCGAGGGTCTCTTGAGTAGAACACCCGGGACACATTACGTTTCAGGTCAAGGGCTGAAGGACCATTCCGTCTCATCGCAAAGTGCCTTCTGGCTGTCATTCTGTCGACACGGAGCGGGATCTCCTGATCGGTCCGGAGGCTATTCAAAGGATTTATCATATCAAATTGTTCCCTTCCCTGACGCGTGAGGCCTTCTGACCTGCACAGTTGGCCCTGTATCAGCACAGAAAACCCCACTGACGCAACAGCATCCCTGATCGCCGCAAGAGGTCCAATAGTTGTCACGTAGGCTCCGGTTCCATGTTCTTTAGTGTTCTTCAGAGATATTGAGGGCCTCTGAACGTAGATTGTAAATGAAATGGGCTCCCAAATTTGTATTAGCATGGCTAATTCCTGTTCGTCTTAAAATGTGCAAGATTCAGTCATAATTGATTAATGATAAAAACTAGGTAACATGGTTTGAAAATGCGCGCTCGCAAGTCATAGAAACAATCGCCTCGATGCCCGGCGTTGAAGTCTCTGTAGGCTTCCTGGCGTCCACCCTGCGGCTCTGGTATTAACACGCGCTCGAGTGGGGGTCAAATTGACCCTCCAGGTTTTTCCAGAATGGTTTCCGAACAGCGCGGCTTAGCCGCGCCAAATTTTGCATGTCTGTAGAAAATTGAAGAGCGGATCGTTTGGTATCAATAATTTAGATGCACTTTGTAGGATCGCTGACCTATGGCATGTCAAAGTCAGACCACGGTTGCAGCGAAGACAATTTCTAGGGAATCCTTCAATCTAATCCAACAACGGAGTGCTAGACGAGGCGTACATCTCTGAGATGCTTTTTTAGGCAACACAGCAGTTGACCGAGCAAATAGAATTGACCTAAGGTCAGGTATGAAGGTCACACCAAGGTCAAAACCAATCTGTTTTGTTACTCTAGGGCTTGCTGTGTGGGATAGTTTCTGGTGCTCATTTCGAGTTAATTGATATCAGAAACCGCATTATACATCTTCCATGGACTTCTTACACGTCAGAATAGGTCATTGATCTAAAATGACCCAGGACAACATTTTGCTTTAGGAACATACTGCCTAGCATAATCTCTGTCGCCTAGAAAAATGCAAAACTCGAAGCAATCTTGTATGGTTTTGGTCACCTTGACCTTCAAAAGGTCAAACATGGTCACTGACCTTGAATGAGACAGTGACTTTTTGCTTAGAAACGGTTATCTAGGTTCTGGGGACACTTTGGAGACCAAGCTGGAACTTAATCTTGTTTGACCTTTTTTGACCCGAATGTGAAATAAAAAATGACCTAGGAATCTGAAACATTGACCTACGTGAGTTCACATATATGTCAACGTGCTCTGTAGCTTTGGTGTCTCTTGCTAAGTGGTGAGCAATGAGCAACCAAAAAAGGAAGGCATCTTGAGGAAGATGGCTGGTGGACCAGATAAATCGGTATATAAGTTTGATGTAGTGCAAAAGTGGGCCAAACACAGCCTTAATATAAAAAGTGGGAGGGGAATTAACATTGCCGCCCCCCACCTTGAAAAGTGGGGCCATGGCCTTCATGCCCCCCCCCCCTGTTCTTACACCCATGGTCATAGGACATATTTTCGTGCTTACAAATCACGTGACCTATCTCCAGATTTGCAGGTCACTGAAACACTGGTTAAATCTTACGCTGGATTATATCCACTGACCACCATAAGTGTTAAGGACTGCCCACCATGAGTTGTATAGTGGGCAGTCCTTTAGAAATAGATATGGAAGAAATTGGTTCGCTCGAGGATCATGCACTGCAATTTGCGCGAAGCCCATACTGGTCGGGTCTGCCCGTCGCGATCATATGCACGCAGCCTCCGCGTACGGACGATTCCGCCCTCCCTTCCCAACTGACCGACTGTGCGCGTCTCCGAACTATGACGTCATTGGTATTACAAACAAACAAGAATTCCCAATACGGCGCGCCGCGGTGATATGCCGTCACACGTATCTTTGAATTGAGTAGACTTGAGTCATAAACAGCTTTTGATCCATTTTTAAGGAATTTTGCATGCCAAGAAAGTACTTAATAAAAACCATGGCGTCGGATACTCGTAGGTCAGAATACCGGATTTCCGAATGATGTCATTGAGGTCATAAGTAGTTATCGTCACAAAAGTATTGTTTTGCTTGCAGCGCTCCAGGTCATGACGTCATGCCAGCAGCTGTCAAACGGTATGGATCACCCGACCATAGAGTACACGAAACTAAGCCACGACAGACTGGACGAAGCCCTTGATCTGATGGTCAGCTGTTTCTTTACGCGTGAACCCACGGTAAGAGTTGGGCACTCAGCGATTACAGACGTCACTGGAGTGTACATCAATGAGGTCGTGATGACCGCATCGAAATGATATCAGCGTGACAAATACACGGTCGTGTGATAATAGGCAGCTCGTTACGAGTGCATCGATCTTAGCGAGTTGATGCCAAAGGACCGTTCAGTTTATTATACGAATGATCCACTGACATAGTACAAACGTAAATGCGACTCCTCACAAGAAACTGAAAACGTTGCGCACTGGTGAGACTGCGCTTTTCACTCATTCAAAGATAGCCAATACCGCTCATTCGACAGCGTGAGACAGCGACTAAATAATGAGCAGCAAGAACAAGGGTCGCCTGCTGTATGAATGGAACCACTTTGGAGATTGGAGACATCAGGATTGGAGGCGGGGATGGCAAACTGAAGTCTGGGGAGCAGCAAGATCCGAAAATGACGTTTTGTGATGAAAGGTGAAAAATTATGGCACGGGGAACACTAGAAGGAACAAAATCACATGCTGCGAAAGTATGAGGGATATGCCCCCCTCAGTGGTTAAACCCAGGTCATGCGGTGGTCAGTTCTCAGTGCTCTCCGGCCTCGCGGGTGGCGCGCCCGAGGACCACCGGCTCTGGCTCAGTGCCTCGCTCCCCGAGTGGCACTGGGACGCCAGCTGGCTGGCGCTGGACGTCGGCACCGGCTGCGTCATCGGCGCCAGCATGTGCGGTGTTTACGGCGTCGACGAGCGCGACCCGTACTGGCGCCTGTACGAGACGGGCAGCGAGGCCGCCCGCGTCTACGGCAGCTTCATGGACGAGGTCGGTCACAGCTTCGACGCTTTCAAGAGCCTGAACGTGCCCACGGTGTCTGAGAATCTTCTCCTGGCTGTTGACCCCAGGTGAGGTGGTTTCCAATATAGTATCGTAAATAATGGGGCTATATCTCGATGTTGTTTTGTTTATTTGCAATGTACATACGGTCTATTGCCACAGAACATTTTTCACTACGACGCTACTCAGCTGCAAATATAATTCATGATGAAAGATCCTGATGTCCAGGCTGGCTATAAGCATGCTCTGACTACTGACCACTGCTCACCAAAAGGTGAAATCGGGTCGACCCTATGAAGCCATTCCCTGCGTTGTTCACATTCCCAGCGATGGCACCACCATCGCAGGGACCGTGCGTTGTTCACATTCCCAGCGGGGACGCCACCATCGCAGGGACCGTGCGTTGTTCACATTCCCAGAGGGTGGCGCCACCATCGCAGTGACCGTGCGTTGTTTATATCGCCGGTGGTGGCGTCACCATCGCAGGCACTCTGTAGTGTTAACATTCCCAGCGGTGGCGCCACCATCGCAGTGACCGTGCGTTGTTCACATTCCCAGAGGTGGCGCCACCATCGCAGTGACCGTGCGTTGTTTATATCGCCGGTGGCGGCGTCACCATCGCAGGCACTCTGTAGTGTTTACATTCCCAGCGGTGGCGCCACCATCGCAGGGATCCGTCAGATGCAAAGCTACGCTCCTGCCGGCAGGTACGGTGGCCTGGGCGTGGGATCGGAGCTGTGTCGCCGCACGTCGGTGGAGGGCGCCGTGCGCTCCGGCGCGCCCGTCTCGCTCTGCTTCTGCACGTCCAGCACCACGCAGCGCATCTACGAGCGCCTCGGCTTTGAGGTCGGCTGCGAGACCGACTACGCCGGCTCGGCGCTGGAGCGGGCCGTGGACGTGGCGTCGATCCTGCCGCATCGCGCCTGCCGCGTCATGTACAAGCGGTTGGGCAGGGCATCAACGTCGAGTTCTTGACGCGTGGACTACGGGGCTGGTGGGTGGTACGCGCGTGCCGTGCAGGTACAGACGCGTGCGTTGGGTGCCATGTAGTGAAACTGGTCGGGTCTGGTGCCGATGCAGCGCCAGTCGCTTAGGAAGTTGAAGCCTTCATTGACGAGATATCATACCTCGGGGACTATATTTTTAATCATGCAACGGGTTACGCAGTCTTCTTAAAATAGCAGATGGGAACAAACAGAACATAAGTACGCCACGCACGGGTTTAGCCTGTCCAACAAAATGGAGGAGCAATGCACTGTGTAAGCATTGTGTAGTGGGTGGAGCACGTACTTGTAACAAAGTGTTGCTGACTGCGGTTTGTAGATTTTACAAAATGTTTTTTGTCGCGTGCATATCATAGCGAAGATAGTTTAGTGACGCAAAGAATAGTACACGAGGTAGCAGAAAATGAGACCCAGGTAGACTCGTGAAATTGTAGCAAGGGATGGCGGTGCAGGCACACTTCTGAGACATGTAGCCATGTGGAGGCCCTGTTCTCCAACCCTGAAAGCTCTGCTCTCCTTTGGTACAAAAACGTCTTGGCGTAAAGACGTGGGACCAATATGGAACACTTGTCAGAGCATGGAGTTAGTGCGACTTCCTCTGTTGTTATTTTAGACCTGTTACACGGACGGTTCAGCATATTTTAAAGGGAAGTGCGCTCTACTCTCAAGCATGGGAGGCACATTTCATGTTCCTAATTCAGTGGCTCGAATACTCGCTCTCAATGACAAGCAAGGCGCAAACGTGGAAAACTGGTGTTCCCTCGACGCAGTTTAGCCCTATTTGAGCCATGCTGTGATGCTCCTGCGAAGTCGGCTGAGTAAAACTTTGTAAACGTCTCAATATGTTAACTGTCCTGCATGACTGTGTCTGCCATGTGGTGATACAAATGTATTTTTTGAAGGCCAAAATATTTCGTACCATTTCATGTTAAGTAAAGTGGGAAAACTTTCATGATGACGCAGTTTGTCCGTGCTGATTCACCGAACTTGCTTTCATCCGTGCCCTAGCACTGGCGAAACCATTTGAACTGTGCCATCCATGGGCGCCTCATGTCACTACCCTCGCAAGCAGGGTCATCATGGTGAGCAGCGTCGCGCAACGGCGCCCGCAAAAAAGAAACAAAGTTCCCGAATGTGTTGTCGGGCGCGCGATCCGGCGTGGCGGACGTGAGGGCCCCGACCAGCGGCTGCCTTCGTGACAACCTAGCGCCGTGCGACACAGCGTCATGCGGCGCAGCATCGTGCGACACAGTGCCATGCGGCGCAGCATCGTGCGACACAGCGTCACGCGACGCAGCGTCATGCGACGCAGTGCCATGCGACGCAGCATCGTGCGACACAGCGTCACGCGATGCAGCGTCATGCGACACAGTGCCATGCGGCGCAGCATCGTGCGACACAGCGTCACGTGACGCAGTGTCATGCGACGCAGCATCGTGCGACACAGCGTCACGCGATGCAGCGTCATGCGACGCAGCGTCATGCGACACAACGTCGTGCGACGCGGCGTCATGCGACACAACGTCGTGCGACGCAGCGCCATGCAGCTATCGGGGCGCCCAAGCGGCCGGCCGGATCCGTTCCTATAGCTGGTGTTCACTCCCTGGATCGGCACGCCGCGGAAGAACACGCCAACACCGCCGGCCAAGTGGACTCGCCCTGGCCATGACCTCACTGGTGTGGCTGCGGTGGGACGTCGCGCCCGACGTCTTGCCCGATGCACCGGCTGATCTGTCTCGCGTGCTAATGAGATTTCATTAGCGGTGCTGATTGCTTTCTGGAACTGTGCATGCGTTCACAGTTACCGCGAGCATGCTCCTTGTATATATATATATATATATATATATATATATATATATATATATATATCAGCGTCTCCACGCCTCTCATCATGTCCCACATTCATAGAAACTTGCACTAATGCATCCAAATGAGAGGCCTCCAAACTTCACTGAAGCCAACAGAGAGCAGCCCATTAACAACCTTACAACAACTTACACCCAACTTACTTAACATTCAAGACCATCGAATGTGTCGGGCGCGAGCCACGGTTTTGTGATCTTGTTACGCACCACCTACCCTGCTGCCCACTCGGCACAGCTGCAGGTGGTTTCAGCACGGTTTCGGTTGGTTTCCGCATGGTTTTCAGGACCGATATCGCGCTGACCATTGTGGACAACGACGGTTTTGCTACGTGTCCGGAAGTTGCAATGTGTTGCCCGCTGGCGTGCTTCTACGGTGAGCGCTGTCATGTTGTCATGCTGCTGTCATGCTGTCATGCTGCAGCTGCCATGCTGCTGTGTCGTATGTTCGAATGTACTCATGAAAAAACAAACGTGCTCTTAACTAAACACATTTTCTCTTGAATAACACTTTTTATGTTTCTACTATTCCCGTTTTATTAAACACCACATGATCGATATCCATACATCATTAGAATTGCCATGACCTGGCAAAACACAACGTTACAGCGTTTACGATGGGTGATCAGGCCGTCTCCCAGCAGCTGTGAAGCAGACGTTCTAGATGTGTGTCCCGGTACTGCTAAACAATCGGGACACTAGGAGGTCTTTGGGCCGGCGCAAGGACAAGCAAGGGCTTAGCCTGGCGGTAAGCGTAGATGCAAACTCCACACACATCTTGGCGTCCCATTTTTCGCGAAAACAGATCGCCAAATCAACGAGGAGGTCTGCATCTTGTATCGTACGCCTATATTGTAACGTTGAGCCATTTTCGCGCAGGAGTCGCAGAAATCAAACAACTCACGTGTTTCGGAACAGTCCGTTCAAAGTTAAGATGTGCAAACAGGTCGAAGCCGCCGTACTATCGAGTGGTTTATACGATCCTAGAGTAGTATGGGCTGGTTGTTCAGCTTTGAAGGTCCGTGTGAGTGAGATTAATGCGAGACTCCAGCGTGTTAAACTTAAATATAATCCATCAAACGTACGTGAATGGGCTGAAAGAAAAACACGTCCAGAGGAACGAAGAACATCAGATATTTTACATCATGTCTTTATATATTAGTTATCTACACACACACACACACACACACACACACACACGTATATATATATATATATATATATATATATATGTGTGTGTGTGTGTGTATATATATATATATATACATCTATATATATAAATATATATATATATATATATATATATATATATATATATATATATATATAGATGTGCGTATGTGTGTGTGTGTTTCTCTCTTTTAAAGAGGAAACAAAACGTATCGTAGGATGGTACAGTGCTTCTGCAATGTAAAGCGTAGTAAGTATTAGAAAGGAATCAAGATAAGATTACAGTAAAGGTATACGTGATGTTCGTTAAGCCATCTGCGTATTTGACGAATGTTTTGTCACGGACCATGCTCAGAGAATCAGAAATTTCTAATAACGCCGCATAGTTCATTATTTCGATTCTGTGAACAAGGTGTGTGACCGAAAGTCACCAAAAACGCAACTTAAGGTATATCAGTTATATATGGTCATTGCAAAGTCATCTTAACTTCCTTCTAAAGCATATGATTCCCTATGATTCAAAGCTGCCCACCTTGGAGACGCACGTTTACAGAGAGGATGGCCGTCAGCAAGGAAACACATGGTAGACATACACGTGACAACGAAACCAGTGCAAAGAACTTCAATTTATCAACTTAAGAGCAGAACTCTCGACAGCAATAAAATAACACGTTGGATGGTCCACACTGCGACATCGTGACGGACATTGAGTGAGCCGTGGGCAAAGTATAATGGGCAGCCATTGGGCAGACATCTCAGACACATTGATCATGATCAAATGGAGTCTTGCAACAGTCTAATTAATGAATGTGGGCCAATTCAGCAGCCCGAGGCTCTTGAGGCTGCAACAATGCACACCGGGACTAGCCTGGTTTAGGAATAAGATGTTGAAATATTCCAGACCCGACGCGAGCCAGGCCAGCCAGCACTCCAGACAGCCAAGACGCTCCAAAACATGCACTCCGGGTCCAGACACTCCTAAGTCAGCCACTTCCCGGCCCGACACTCCCAGGCGAGTCAGTAATCCAGACAAACACTCTATGACACTCTTAAACCAGACACTTCCAAATCAGGCACTTCCAGACCAAACTCTCCCAGACCAGTCAGCACTGCAGACAGACACTCCATGACACTCCCAAACCAGGCACTCCCGGGCCAGATGCTCCCAAGCCAGTCAGCACTCCAAACAGACAACCCCAAGCCAGGAACTCCTTGACCAGGCTCTTCCAGACCAGATACTCCCGGCCAGTCAACACCTCAGACAGACACACCCAAACACTCCCAGACCAGATACTCTCAGGCCGGTCAGCACCCCAGACCGACACTCCCAGACAAGGCCAGACCAGATACTCCCAGGTCGGTCAGCACTCCAGACAGACACTCCCAGACACTCCCAGCACAGTCAGCGCAGGACTCGCACCTTGTGGTTGACATGAAAAATTATCCGAGTCATGGGATTCGATCCGCCGACCGCGCCGTGATGAAAGACTGCATATGGACCCACTGCGGTCTTTCAGTGGTGGACATGCAGCGTCAATCAGCGTCGAGAGAAGACCAGCGCCCATCAGGAAAATTCACAGTGACTCCATCACGTGGTCAGTCCAGATGACGTTGATTTTCACCGAGCGGGAAAGATTGGCGACAAGCTTGGCAAGTTTGACGGCTTCGTCCCAGCGCAAAAGTCTGCTGTTCCAGCCGTGATTATGAACCATCGATTTTAGCAAGGGCGGAATAAGCCTCGTGGTAAAGATTGACGGCAGAGCAAACCACGCGCACCTGTAATTTTGCCTGAGCAACCAGCTGCCAGTCGCCCGAAGCGTGTAGTCTTCGCAGGATTCCAGCCTGCTGCCATCTCTTTTTTCCTTTAAATGAACTCGGCGCAAGTCGTCAGGCAGCCTTTTATTCTGCGCCAGCGACAATGCTGGCCATACTAGCGATCTGGGGCATTAGCGCAGCTGGGACTCCTCCCCCCCCCCCCCCCTTTACGTAGGAGACCAAGTCGCTAACAACACCTAGTCTTTATTGCCTGCATGGCCGCCCGTATGAAGACGCAAGACATGATGTTTTGAGCTGCTCCCTCCATGCATACGACGATTGGACGACCATAATTAAAACGCTGGTGAAACATAATGCCAATCCCAAACTTTTGCGAACTCAATCAGTACCAGCAACTCAGTACGCATGTCAAGGGTAGCGGTTGATGAAATTGTGCAAGTCAGCAGATAGCAAAAAATTGCCAGACATTTCTTCTTTGAACCAAACAACTCGCTTCACAAATTCCAGCGATAGCGGGCAGCTGAGGGGTGACTGAGTGGCGGTGCCGGGCAGGGAGTCCGTCGCCGGCCACAGGAGGCTGGAAGTGTGGTCCGGGGCGGCAGTGGACGCCTGGTCTGTAGCAGCTGGCAGATCGGACGACCTATCCGCCACTGCTCCTCCGCCGCATCCGCTGCCTCCGCTACGGGCGCGGGGAGCGGGCGCGCACCGCCCAAACCCGGCCCGCTGCGGCGAGGGTCACGCCGTCGCGGAGTGCAAGTCGGACTGTGTCCGATGCGCAGCCTGCCGCGGCGGGCACCCCTTCACCGACCCCCGGTGCCCAAGCTGGGCGCTCGAGCGGGAGGTGGCACGGGTTGACGCAGCCCAACATGCCCCTCCGCCGAAGCCCGTCTTCGGATGGCCAAATCCTGGCATTCCCTGTCCGACCCTCCCATCCCCGGCCTGGTGCACACACCCCTCCCCCCTCAATCAACGGGTTTTTCCGCCTCGGCCAGCTTCTCCGCCCGGCGGGGGCACCACCCATACCGGCCCTACCCGGTTCTTGCGGCCAATGCAACCGTCAGGGTCTTCTGTCTACTCTAAGCAGTGCAACCACGCATCTCGCCCTGACTTCCTCCTCACTTCACTCCTCACTCTACCCATGCTGCTCGGGGTCTGGCAGGGTCGTTCCCTGACTCTGCCTTCGCCCACGTCAGCTCACATACCAGCCTGGGACAGACCCTTCCGCCCCCCCTCCTCCTCCTACCACCCATCCATGGTCGACTTCCACCCTCTGCCCCGTCCTCAGCGCCGCTGACTCGCGCCTCCCAAAATCAGATCCTCCGCTTTCCGCCAAACCCAAACACTCGCTCCACCCAAACCCCTGGTCCGTCCCCCATCCTCATGTCAGCGTCAGTCCAGACTGACCTGGCCTCCCCTCCGATCCCACCATCCACATCCACGGCCCGCCAAAGCCAGCCAACTTCTGAAACATCCCGGCCCAAACCACATCCAGAACAGAGCCTACTCGTCGCCGCGCACCCTTGCTTTCTCCCTTCCCTTTCAAGTCGCCAGTACAAGCTCGCCCGATCCGAGCAAGAAAGACGGCTACGCTCACCAACTCCAGCGAGCCGCCACCCTCCATCCTCCACCCTCCCTCCAACTCCATCCAGGCGCCCGACCTTAAATGCGCGACCGTAAGTGGAGCATATTTTACAGACGAGCTTTGGCGGCCCGACCACCCCTTTAATGCATTCAAAGCATCTGTACACAACCGGTCGCCTTGCCTGCAGCCTTCAGGAAACACTTAGGTAGTCATCAAACACAGGAAACATGTAGGTAGTCATCAAACACCTACGTAGGTTTTTCTACGCACCGTCTAGAGTCTACAATGAGGTTTAAGCTCACTGCAGGCTCGCTATCAGGACACAACACATCCTAGCATAGCAGCACTTGCGGCGAACTTTGATCGCCTCACGCATCTAGCACAAATCTGGAAGGTGGAGGATGATGAAACTCTTTCAGCTCAAAC